CTCACCGTGTATTCCCAGTGTCTAGCACGGCACCTAATCCATAAACAAGCACAGTACATATCTGCTGCATAAACGAATCAAGAGACACTGTCCAACGTGCTGGTGTTATTCAACCTTAAGTCCATAGAAAAGTGATTACATTTCCCTTGATCCAGTGAACCCACCGAAACACTATCTCCTGGGACAGCATGAGATGAAGATGGAGACACAAACTGAAAACCCTGAATTTAGTCCTATAACTACTATTTACTAATCTCAGCTTCCTGGGGAATATGAAAGACCAGCACTTCTGCTCCCAGAGAACTTGCAGCACTCCTGGAAGAAGAGAAATATACCTGAAACACCTGGAGAATCATTTAAAGGTAGAATATGTTCGAACGTCAAAATGACAGAACAAACCTTAAGTAATCTCAAATGAAAGGCATGACGTCATGACAAAAAAGACTGGAACTGGGCCTTGAAGGGATGAGGTTTGCAGAGAGGAAAGGAGGGGTGTCGGCACAGGGCCGGAACAGGCACGTGTGCCAGGGAGCAACCGCTGACATCACAGCTGCGGCCTTGCCCTTCCCGCCACGCTACGCAGAGGAGGGCGGCGAAGGCAGGTCACACGGAAAGCCATGGAGCTTTTTTGTTTTTGATTTGTGACACTAGTATATAAACAGAATATTTTTTGTGTTTTCATATACCACTTTAAAATTTCAAATGTACAATTCTTCTGGGGAGCAAGAACTTTTTCTTTTTATATTTTAATTCAAAGAGAAAACCTTTAATGTTCAAATTAAAGGTATAAAAACTCAAGAAAGAAAAATGAACAAACCCTGGGTAGAAATATCAGGCGCGGTGGCTCACGCCTGTAATCCTAGCACTCTGGGAGGCCGAGGCAGCAGGATCTCTTGAGCTCAGGAGTTCAAGACCAGCCTGACCAATAGCGAGACCCCATCTCTACTCAAAATAGAAAAAATTAGCAAGGCTTGGTGGCATGCGCCTATAGTCCCAGCTACTTGGGAGGCTGAGGCGGGAGAATTGCTTGAGCCCAGAAGTTCAAGTCTAGCCTGGGCAACAAGGTGAGACCCTGTCTCTCAAAAACAAAAGGCGGTGGGGGGTACCTAGAGGAATACCAACCAAAGGGTAATAATATTATATGAGGTCAGGCTGTGTGCAGATCACTATCCAAAAGAGAGTAGCAGCTAAATCCTTTACAGGGTAGCTTCAGCCTTTAAATAGATATATTATTTTGGTAAACAGTCTCCAGTTAGAAAATGTATTAGCTCATGCTCAGAAAGCACAGTTGTCTCATCTCTGGTTTATGAACACTCTGGGAATGTAAACGAGAAACGTTTGTCTCTTCATCCAAGCCAACGTGAATTTTGTTTACGCGTACCTTTTTAAAGGGCTTTTATTCTCCCTACTCCTTCTTGACTTTTTATTACATCTTTTCTTTAGGCATATTTGTCTCTGGAACATTGCTTTGGGGAGCATAGGTGTCAGCAATATCTACTTCTATTTTAAGCTCAGGGAGGAGCACGTGTAACATAAGTAGGAACAGGGAAAAGGAAAATAAATGAGAAGTCTGCTGCAGTGTGTTTAGGTGTACTTGCAATCGTGTTTTAAATTAACCTGCAATCAGGCTACAGAACTCTGTTCTGAAGAAATTCACCTGAAGGAGTCAGGAGGTGAAGGGAGGGTACCAGAGCTTACAGGTGTAGATGGACGGATGGGCGGATGGAGATTTTGCCATGGCTGTGTGTTTACAAGCTTTCTTTGTTAAGGCAATTGTAGCTAAAGTATAATAAAACAGAAACATGGTTTATTTGACATGGAAGATGAGGTGATACAGGTCTTTGATGGCTTATATAGGAATTAATTACTTGGAAGCCATGATTACCCCATGCTTTAAGCAAAGCGCTTGTTTTCCCCTAAATGAAGCAGACCACTAGGATCTGAGGAATTAATTATTCAAAATCCCCTCCACTGGGAGCCACAAAGACCTCACACGCAGGAAGGGATTTACACTGGCTGAACCATTCAAAGAAATGATCTTTAAAGCTAAGATATTAGTACAGTACTTCCTGCTTAGGCTTGTTCTCTTTGAGGTCCTTATTTTATATTTGATCTTAATAATGACTTTCATAAGCCCCAGAAAGTCTACTCGTTGGTGCAGAAATCTCAAGCTGAATTCAGGCATACAAGGCACCAGGCTTCCTCCTGCCACCGCTGCTGCCTGTGCTGCCTGCCTTCCAGGGCCAGAAAGCAGATGCTGAGCAGAGGGTTCTAAAACACACAAGGAGCTTAAGGACAAAAGGCGTTAATGCAATAGTCCTCAGGAGCTGCCTAGCTTCGTTCAGTGAAACCACCTGTAAAAGCAAAATGTTTCATAGCTGAACCACCAGAGAAGGCGAGCACCACCAGGAAAGAATGAGTTTGATCTAGGAGCTATGGGGCTAATGTAATGAGTTCCGGCCAAACTCAGATGTCACCCAGAGTGACACAACTCCAGAGAGCATCTGCCCCCACTGCCCATGATGAGGAAGAGTGTGAAGATGGGGAGTTTCTCACGTAAGATTATAGCCCTGGCACTCTAGAGTTCAACTCCATGGGGCAACGAGCTTGAAGGACATTATTCTGTTGAGAGTGTGAAATAATAGCAGGAAAAAAAAAACCCTAATGAAGGTGGAGGGAAGGGAAGGGGACAGGATCCCAATGCGCTGGGAAGGCTCAGAGCCATTCTTTTGCACATTTCTGCAGCGAGGAAGTAAGGCAGGTCAGAATTCCCCATCTCTGATGAATTTTCCATCAAGCCAACATAAACAAACTAAAGATTCCCTGCTGTGGGTTCTCAGAGTCTAACATAATGGATCCAAACCAGTTAAAGGGAACTCACATCTGTTCTGGGAAGCCTCGGCCCTTCAGACTTTGAGAACTTTGCCAACAATGACCTCAGGCAGAAGAGATCAAACCACCAGTTTCCCTTCTGGAATTGTCTGGGGCCAAGATATTTGAGGACAACTGCTAACTGTTTAGGGGTTCCACTTTCCCTAAGGTGGCTACCCCAGGAACGTCAGTGCCAGTGTTTCACCCAACACTTGTGCTGCTCCCAACGTCCCTGGTTGTGCTCTGATCGGACTTTCCTGAGCGCAGCTCGGAGCACAGTTTCCCCGGCCGACTGTCAGCAGGTACTTCTCTGGCAGGACCCAGAACAGAAGGACACGAGCAGAGAATTTGTAAAGGTGAAATCTGGCGAGTTGGAAGCCTCCCAGCTGCAGAGAGGAGTGTTAGTGAGGCCATCAGCTGAGAAACAGCTCTTTGATAAGGTCATTTGGGGAACCGGCAAACATAATGTGAAGCATAACGTGACCTAGAACTGGGACTGGACACGGAAGCTGTCACTTCTATTAATTAGCTTATTAGAAATGAGGAAAATCTTTACAAATCAACCCTCCACCCAGTTCCCCCTTTCAGGCCAGGCGGGATGAAGCTGACTCCGATTGCTCAGAGCTGTTCGGTTAATAGTGACCAGGAGCTCTACACCTTGTCTACTTTCTCTCTCCCCGCTCAACACACTAACACAAAATGCTACAGCATAACCCTTAATTAAAATAAATTTTATTTTTGCAACAGGATGATTTCATTTTAATTCACAAAGCAGAGAGTGAACAGGTTGCAGCAGAGTTATGGAAATTTAGAATTGAGAGGATAATCGAGGTGAGAATGAACAAGGACACAGTTGTAGATTTTAGATCCATGGCATCCGATAAATTCGCACAGAGGAAAAGCTCTACTTCAGGGCTCTACAATTTTACCCATTGAATCCCCAAAGCATAAAAATGCCAGCCAGGCTGAAAACACAATTTCATGGACTTACTGATTCCTTGAAAGAGCTCTTCGATATTAATAGCATTTTTTGCGCTTGTTTCCACCACGATGGCACCTATGGATTCAGCATATTCCTTAGCATCCTTCAGGGGCACCTCCCTGGAAAAGAGGTCAAACCCAGAGAGAAATGAACGCTCATTTGTAAAATACAAATAACCCAAAAGACCAAACGAACAGCTTGCGTGCTAATGGTTCTTTTATTTTCCCGTAGAATAATAACTCAATCACTCAGCAAGTATGGAAACCTAGTTTGGGTAAGACTTTTTAAAATTTAAAACCTGGTCTCTGGCATCCATGGAGACAAGACACGCATATATAAAACAGTGTTCATGGAAAGAAGGAAAGAATTTCAGACCAGGAGGGAAAATCATCATGAGTATAGCAGTATACATTCCAGGGTTCAGAGCCAGAGTTGATTTCAATTTTTTTCCTATAATGTGGCTCAATATTAAAAAACACCACCACCACCACTGTTAGTGTATCTATGCACATGTGTTTTTGTGGTACTTTTCATATGTCACCTTTCACAAACCTTAGAAAACAGTGACATGATTTGATGGTTTGGAAATGAGCACGGATATAGCTCCAGTGTCTACCTGTAGTGTGGCAAACCTGGACTTTCACCTGTAAAAGGATGTTCCTGCAAAGGTCGTAGGACATGAACTCTATTGCAATGAACAATCTAAAAAGACATTTATGGGTCTGTTTTCAACGTGAAGATGCTATGGTAGACCCAAACATAAACAAGACACGGTTCCCATTGCCCAGAAGACTATCTGTGTATGTAGCAAATACTGATTGTGCAGCTCTTGCTGGCCCCTCTTGCAGGTGCTAGGGAAAACCCTGGTCCCTGCCTTCCAGAACCTGCATGGACAAACAGAGCATGTCCACGGTCACTCTAATCCATACACTGTCACATAAAGGGCTTCAAGAGTCGAGGGGCAGAAAGTGATGCATTTTGATCAAGGGAACCCAGGAAGGGCTCTGGAGGAGGTCACCTTAAGCATGGCCACGAAGGCTGGTAGCACACAAGTGAGGGTTTGTGACGGGCCAGCCTGAGGAAAGGCGCAGAGGCGGGAGAGCAGCTCGCTCCACCCGAGTCAGCTCTGCACCCAGCACCGCCGTGGGTGCCGCGGTGGGTGCCGCGGTGGGTGCCGCGGTGGGTGCCGCGGTGGGTGCTGCGGTGCGTACGCAAAGGGAGGGATGCAGGGATGCCGGGGTGGCTGGAGCTGAGCGAGGGACCCTGACGGACGGGCAGGAGGACACGCCAAGCCTGTCTTACTCCCAGTGGCCAGTGACAGGACAGAAGTGACAGGGTCAGAGCCAGAGTCTAGGAAAGAACAGTGCCTGGGATGGACTGGAGCGGAGTGGGGGCGGATTTGGAAGCTCCTCTGATGCTGCAGGGCAGGGGTAATACACACGACCCTCGACGAGAAGGACGGCTATGAGGAAAGAACAAGGGCGGGTACAAAATCGAACCTAGGAAGGGGGCGTGAAGACACGGCATCCATCTCCGCCCCGTCCTGCACCCCCTTCAAATGCCTCATAAATGGTTTCAAAAGGTTTATAAAGTTCCCGAGGAAATTCTACCTTGGCATTCAAATTCCTTACAAAGCCTAAATCATATGAGAGGGGGACCTTTCCGGTCCCGGCTGGGAAAGCGCCCAGCGGGGTCCACCGTGTCAAAAGCGATGGTCCCGAGCCCTCAGCCGGAGGGAGGACGCCCGGGAGCGCCGCTGGACTCCGCACTTGCAGTCACGGGAGAGTCGGCCTCTGAAGCTCCCTCTCTACTGTTTCTGACAGACAAGCCACAGGCCTGTCACAGGGAGTGTTCTTGAGTTTTTTGGTGGCAGTAACTTTGACGTTAGAAAGATTGCAGAAAAGGGCTTTTCTCTGTTCGGGCGGGCAGGGTACCTTGCTTTCCTCTCTTCCCAGAAGTCTCTATCACAGCGCAGAGAAAGGCTGAGGCTTGTCTCTGCCCAAACTCGGGGCAGATAAGAGGAGGCGGCACCTGCTACCCTCCACCTGGGCGTCGGGGAGCGCAGGGCACTGAAGGAAGCCTCGGAGGGCCCTCGGGCGAGAGACCATCACACGCACGGCTATGACGCTTCCTCAGCTCCCCTCACCAGTCCAACTGCCGGACAGAGAGGGGCAGCATAGGCTTGCCGGGATTAAGATGAGAACAAAGCAGTCACCGTGACACAGTCCAAAGCCCTGCCCTGGGGATGGCGGCTCAGAGGGGCTGATTATTTCATAGTCTGTAGCACTGGCCCTTGAAGTGGGAAGGCACCCTTCCGGCTCCTTCCACGTTTGGAAAACGGGTCTCACGAGATCAAAGACCTGCCCTCTACTTAAGAAGAAAATAATTGTGGATTCATCAGAAGTAGTCATACATTCAGCTGATGCATTCGCACCTGTGGCTTATCTATGTTTTTTAGAATTGCACTTGGAGGACAAGATGTCCCCAGTGCCTGACAACTACAGAACATCTAATTATATTCATAATTCTTGAAAAGCATTTTTGAACATTGTTTTCACTAAGCTGCCATTTCTACACAAAGAAATTACATAGTATTTTCTCAATTGTTATGATTGTTTTTTTCTCATTACCTTTTCTTTATTTCTTAGAAAAACATACCTTAATCAGAAGAAGTTAATGGAACCATTTATTAATTGGTAAAATGTCAATGGCTTGTTTATTATCACTGCCGACTTCCTCAGGATTCACTCTTTCTTGCTAACACATCCTTCCACTGACCTCTCTGTGATATGTGCCTCTTAGTTTTCCTTTTACTTCGTCTGTGACCCTCATTCTGTAACATTTCTTTTCTTCCATCACACTAGTTTCTTTTCCTCCTTCTGTCTTTCTCGTTCCATCTCTGCCAATAATGTCACGATACAGAGGCATTTGAAAATGAAGAGGAAAATGTGGTCACTTTATTCAGCCAATCAAACTTATTCTACTGGATGTCCCCAAAGTGATTTATCATTTTTGTTTTGAATATATTTATGTTTCAAGAGTTTCAACATTATTGCACAATCAAGAAAAATGTCATTAACTCTCGTTACTTTATAACTGATTTTAAAAATGTAATTTTTCGGTATTACTGCGTTGACCTTAGACAACTTCAAAAAAAAATAGACTTTATTTTTTAGAACAGTTTTAAGTTCACAGCGAAATAGAGCAGAAAGTACAGAGTTCCCATATACCTCTGTCTCCACTCACCTTCCCCCACTTTGAACATCCAGCAACAGACTGGTACCTTTGTTACAACTGACGAACCCACACTGACAGACCATTATGGCTCTAAGTCCACAGTTTATTTTAGGGTTTATTCTTGGTGTTATACATTGCACGGGTTTTCACAAATGTATAATGACATGTATCCACTATTACTGTATTATACAGAATAGTTCACTGCCTTACAAATTCTTTGTGTTCGCCTATTCATCCTTCCCTCTCTTCTAACCCCTAGTAACCACTGATCTTTTTACTGTTCATAGTTTTGCTTTTTCAGAAAGTCATGTAGTTGAAATCGTACAGTATGTGGCCATTTCAGATTGGCTTATTTCACTCATTAACATGCATTTGCATTCCCCCATTTCTTGTGATGGACTGATAGCTGTTTCTTTTTAGTGCTGCATAATATTCCATTGTCTGAATATATCCCTTTATCCATGCACCTATTAAAGGACTTCTTGGTTCCTTCCACATTTTGGCAATTACGAATAAAGCTGCTATAAACAAACAAACAAACAAACAAAAACAAAGACCTGCCCGAATGACACAGCTAACGCCAGGCAGGGTGGGGCTTAGTCCAATCCCTCGCTGCCGGCAGGTCCTAACAACACAGCCACCCTCCAGCACCCACACTCCAGAGGCTGTTCTTTCCATCTTTTTAGACAAAGAAAATGTGGGGCCCAAAATATTTCAAACTGTCAAATACTCTGGAGGACGGGGGCGGTGGGCGGGGGGAGGGCAGACTCCATCCACCTATAGAATAGGTTCTTGTGAAAGACTCCAGAAGGCCAGGAAAAGTCCCTCTGATGTGAACTGAGATTAAAGGAGCAACCACTCTTGAGTCTGCCAAAATATGTTCCTATTACTATGGTATAATAAAAAATATACATTTGTCCTGCCCCTGGTTTCTGGCTCAAAGCTCCTAAAACCCTCAGTTTCCAAGTGATAGGAGTGTCTTGTTATTCATAAAGAGTTGCGTTCAACCATGCCCTATGTGTCTCTTCCATTTGGCTATTCCTGGATTGTATCCCTTGTAACAGAACTATAATGTTAAATAAAAATCATAGGAGGACATTTTTTTGGACACAATTCCTGCGCTAGGTTCAACAGACCAGAAAAATCAAAATCGACTCACTCAGGCTAAAGGTGTCAGCAAACCCAACTAAGTTGTATCTGACCTTCAGAGAAATCAGGAGAGAGATAACAGCCAATTTCCCAAACAGGCTGTTCAAACCTTTCAATCCGTGGCATTATAACGAAGTTCCCTCTGCTTTAATCCTTACACACACACAAAAGGTGGCCTTATGTAACCTGATGTCAACTAATCTGTGATTTTCTATTGTTCTGCCTCCCTTTCTCGCCTTGCAAGAAAAGTATCTTTGAAACAACCAAAGCCTGTCTGTAAAGCCAACCTCATGCTCAGCTCGTGGGAACACTTACTGTTTGACGGATGAGGTGTTGCTGATTCTAGAATCGTGAATAAAGCCAATTCGGATCTGTAAATTTGTTGTAATTTTGTCCCCTGACAGTAATCCAGAGAACAGTGCCTTCCTGAGTTCTGTGAGTCCATTCTAGAGAATCGCTGAATCTGCGGAGAGACTATGGGAACCCCTAAGTCTGCAGTCTGCCGGGCAGAAGTGCAGGTGACCTGGGGACACGCAAGACTTCCTGCTCACCTCTGAAATGGGGACAGTCTTGTGGTACTGAGCTCTTGACTTGTGAGGTTTACACTAACTCCCAGCAGTTGGTGCCAGAGCTGAACTGAACAGTAGGACACCCCGTTGGTGTTGGAAAAATCACTGCTGGAACAAATGGCATGACCACCATCTGAGTCACCTTGGAAAGGTGGGAATTCATT